ACCGACGACCGGAGACCACTCTTTTTTTGATTCTTCATTCTCTCAAAGCTTGTATCTCTATTCTCCAGACCTCTGAATTAATAAAATACCCGACAACTGAAGCCATTGAAAAGTGGACGTAGGTCGAATTGACCTAACCACTATAAATCGTGTCTTCTTTAATTTTTTCATTGATTTCACTGCATTTATTACCTACATTTGACAGGTGGTGTGCAAAACCATTTTTGTGCATCATCAGTATCACTTATTTTTTTATTGGTGATTAGATTGGTTCTATTTTTTTTTATTTTTTTTTGTGTAATTGGTGTAACTTTTTTTTTTTTTGATTGATGATTAGCTTGGCTTTGACTTTTTTTGAGTAAAGAAGTCTAATTAGAATCGTCAAAACAAACAATATTAAGAGAGAGAGAGAGAGTATGAGAAATAGGAGAGTGTGTCTAAAAAAAATATGAAATAGAAAGAGAGAAATATATGAGAAATGGGAGAGTGTGTCTAAAAGAAATATAAAATAGAGAAAAAGAATTATATGAGAGATGAAAGAGGGTGTTTAAAATATCTCAGAGAGAGAGAGAGAGTTATATATATGAGAGTTTAGTGTATGAGATAAATAAGGAGAGAGTTATATGAGATATGATAGTCTTAGAGTTGTAAAATGAATGAAAGTTTAATTTTGATCGTTAGATCAAAAGTTAGGAAATAATCTGAACCGCAAAAAATTCAGGACAAGAAAATCTAATTATTTTATTATATAGATTATAGAAGTGATGGGGCCTTGCGATTCTATAATGCAAAATGAGAATTAAGAATGAGGGAGTACGGTATTCTTATTATTGTATCATTATTTTTAATTTTTGTAAATTTTTTTGTAATTTTTTTCACTTGTGTGGTAACTGTTTTTATCATATAAATTTTTTTATTATAAAAATATTTACAAAAAAAATAAATGTTCGTCTTCTCCATGAGATGGATATGCGGGAGCAGAGCACCTGCAAATGAGGAGGAGATTTGAGTCTCAATCCACTTTGAATTTCCGAAAAAAATAAAATAAAAACTTTTAATCCATTTTGTATGGCAACATCGTTAGTGCTTCCCGGTTTACGAGGACATGGCTTTTTAGTCCTCTGCGCTCCCCACTTTCCCAGTTTGCGATGGTATGGGCTCATCTCAATTGTTTTTGTTATGTCTTTTTATAGATTAAAAGATGACCTAGTAAGCCTGGTTCTTCCAGCACTACAGTATCAAGATGAGAATGAACTTCTTGGTAATGTTTGTAGGAAAGTCACAATTTAGTTCCTTGAGCTTTCTCCTTTCTCGACAAGGGCTGGCAATTTTATGCACAATCTATTAATGTGACACTATGCAGCACGGATATTTTATTGAGATTGACGTACTCGTATCGGATACGATATTCGTTAGATACTCAAAAATACGTATCGAATATATTTTCTACGTATCTAATAATAATTAAATATTATGATACTTTACGGATACTTTTGTAGTAGAGCAACATATATAATTTTCTAGTTGAACTTTTAACATCTTTTTTCGAATTCACATATTATACAATATATTGATAAAAATTTCATATTAGTTCAAAGACACATGAATGTTTTTTAAGTATTATTTACAATTACATGTCAAAAGACTATATAATAAAGTTATTACATTATAATCTTAGTAAAAATTACTTCTAAATACTAGATACATATTAGTTTGATTCTTTTAATTAGTCACTTCACTTTGTGAATATACTACAGCGATACGATGTATATTTTATTGAAACTAAAAAAATTACTATTATATGTTAAACAACAACCAAAATATATAAATATTAAGTTGGTTGAAATTAATAAAAATATTTTATTATAGCCGTATCTTGGCCGTTCTCGTATCCTATTTTTTTAAACTTTGTCATATCGCCATATTCGTATCATATCATATTCGTATTCCGTATTCGTATTCATACTTCATAGATGTGACACATAAGTGATATAAAACTAAAAAGTTTGAGTTCAGTTTAGTATATTTGGATGATAAATAAGTGAATCTATTACATTTGACAAATATATTTATTCATACAAACCTTGCAAAAATATGGCAAAACACGACTTTTACACAACACGAATTTCATCATACACAATTTTAAAGGAGTTGAATTGAGTATAGATTGAATGAATTTTAATAGGATACAACTTACACAATTTAAAAAAAACAAGAAGACATGATCTATTGACAACCCTAATGTTTCAAAAGTAGAAGTTACGACACATAAGACCACAATTCCTTCCAATTATGCCAATTAAGGAGTTTATTGAATTTGAGTGTCGAGTTTTAGAACACACAAAGTGTTCACATTTAAATATTGTGTTCGTAAATGGCTTGACCTTGAGCCTATTGAGTCGAGCGTCACATTTATTGAGCTCAGCTCAAGTTTAAAATAAATGTTTGATTCTTTTTTATTTTATATTACAACCAAACTTGTTAATGTTCAATCCACGGTGTCCCCATGTCTTGTTTACTAGTGTTTCGGTGGTGTGGTGACGGACTATTCTAAAGGGGTCTGTAACTATGGCTAATTAAATATTTTACATCAAAAGAGACCCTCATTATCACGTCCAAGGGGATCACTACCTGTTGGTCGTCCCCCTCCCCCATCATAGACCCAAAAAAAAAAAATGGCAGAATTCGAAATGAGCTGTTGAGCTCACAATTCAATAACTTTTTTTTTCAAAATGGGAACGGTGACATCTCCGAGCACAAAATTCCTCTATTTGCTCATCTCCCATATTAGCTAGTCTGACTGCTAGCACTATTAATCAAACTAAGCTATTTAAGTTCAGTTTGAATTTAGTTCGTTTAAGTTCAGTTCGTTTAGAAAACGAGCTGAACTTGAATAATTTTTTAAATTCGTTTGGAAAATATGTTCGACATGCTTGACTCGAACTTGACAAACTCAACTCATTTATATGCAAATACTCGGGCTTAGCTTTGATATGGATCGTTCAGGTTCGAAACTTGAACAATTTTATAAGTTTAATTAAAAAAATAAATTTTTTATGCTCCATTCGAACTCGTTTGACTACCAACCCTAGTGACTGTATCTCAAGTTCCATTCACACATCCATGTTGCGATGGCACCCTTCTCTTTCTACTATTGTTGTGGGCATCCTGTTGCAAACTCCTATGGAGGTCACTTCAAAGAGTTACATGACAATTGTGACAGGTCGTTTTAAACTGACCGAGACGAGACAATTATGCTTAACATGGTCATTGATGCTTTTTATAGAGCTTGGTTACACCCTTGCAACCTCTTGATTCAACTATTTAAAGTAAAAAAATATGATTAGGATTGACATATAAATAAGAATAATGTTATTTAAATTTAATTTAACGATCTAATACAGCATTATAAACGGGATTAAGTGTAAATTCTAATATCTAATGGGTTTACTATTAATTTAACGACAACAACGCATTAAATTGTAAAATCAAATTCAATTTGTATCATTACATGAGCCATTTTGCCGTTTGCCAGGATCTAAGTCACCAAAAAATGGTCTGATACTCGAGAAGACCAAACTTCAAGGCTGGTTTGATCAAAAAATTGTTAGTATTATATTTTGAATTTAAAAATTAAATATTATATAGCATAAAAAAATAAAAACACAACATGTGGGAGGCTGAGGAAAATGGAATGCGATCCTTTTCAATTCATTTTTTAATGATATATGATTCGTCAAAAAGATAATTAATGAGAAAATGTATTATAAGATATCTAAATCCAAAAAAAATGGCCGAAGATATTTTAATTTTTGTTTGTGGGACAAAAAAAACTTAAAATAAGGGAAGCTAACAATATTATTAAAATATTAGGGGATGATTCAATTCATTTTTTAATGATATATGATTCATCAAAAAAGAGAATTAAAGCGAAAATGTATTATAAGAGATCTGGATCCAAAAAAATGGTTGAAGATATTTTAGTTTTTGTTTGTGGGACAAAAAAATTTAAAATAAAGAAAGTCGATGATATTACTAAAATCTTAGGGGATGACATTGACATTTTCCAAAAAAAAATTTATTTGGACTTAATTGAGTCCAGTCAATAAATTGAAAGGGAGCTCTATTTAACAATGAAATTTACAATTTTATAACTATATTAAATTAAATACCTAGTTAGGTCCCCAATTTATGAGTAAATATTTAATACAACAGTGATACAATATCAACATTGTCTTATGGTATCATCAACCAATAATAAAACATCAAATGAGCAAAGTGAACCCTATTTGAGTAATTATTGACTTACCTAGAAGAAAAGTGAGTAGTTATTGACTTATATAGATGGATAATTATTGATTTGTGTATGATTAATTTCCTTACTTATTTACTGGGGTAATTTGTACCTGAAAGGTACAATATAATGTGAATTGTTTTGAGAAAAATGTTGATTACTGTTGGATGAATTGATATGAGACCGTCGAATAAACTTATTGAAGTCTGTCCTACTTTAGATTATAGATTATTAGTTGTTGATACTATGTGACAATTGATATCACTATTGCATTGAATATTTTCTCCCAAATTAGGTCGTTGTAGCATAACTCCTCTCCCCGAGATGAAAAAATATTTACAGCATTGTCACATGATATCATCAATTAATAACGTATAAACAAATGAGAAAATAGACTCTATACAAGTCAATAACTACTTGTTTATTAAAGTCAATAGCTACCCATTATTTTTTCACGAAATCCAATAATTATTTAAATAAGGATCACTTTATCTGTTTAAAATTTTATTATTAATCGGTGATAGCAATAATAAAATAATAAAAGTGATATTCAGCCGATTGGTGCCATTGTAATTTGGTGTATAAATCGGGGGAAACACACAACTTTGTTTTCCCGCCCATGAGGACTCAGACAAGTCATTAAAAAATTATTTTTATGCACTTAAAATTGTGGTATATGTAGTAGCTTTACTCTTATTATTTCCCAGACCCTCCATCTCCTCCTTTGTTGAACCCCTCATTCCCTTCATTTGTCTGCAAGCCCTTTCTCTCACACACGCACATACAAAGACAAAATCAAGTAAATTTCTTTCTCATTTCAGATATATGTCGCATTTGTATGTCCATATGATATGAATCTTTGAAAAAGATAGTTAAAAAATCGGCGTACTAAAATTGAATGACTGTTGAAATAACCCCACATTTTGGTTTGACGTTCGAATTATTTTGTGAGACAGTAATAGTCTGCGTTTGATTCGCTTTTTGATTATGTTTTTGGCTTGTTTGAGTGTTTTTGTTGTTGTTGTATTTTCGAATGTTTTGTTGCAGGAGCTTAGGGTTTGCACTTAGTGATGGTGGTCGAGGACGAAATGAAAAATGGAGCGCTTGCAGATTCTCCGACGTCAGTTTTAGAAGACGAGGTATGTTCTCGCTGCGCCTTTTCTTTGGTTTTCCTATAATATTTGTTTTTTTTTTAAATTTTGTTGACGTTTATGACTGATCTTTTGTGCTTTTAAACGGATTTTAAATCTGTTTTACTTTTGGATCTCTTTGAAAGTGTGTGTCAATGTGTGTCTTTGGTATGTTAAAGTTGTGGCTTTTTATGGTACTACTTAACCTCTTTGATGTAACAGAAGAAAAGTGAACTTGGTTTTTGGTCACTGGTATGAAAAAAACATTAACAAAAAAGAAGCCCATTTACTTATTAAAAAGCACAATGGTTAAGTTTTTTAGCTGGATGGTGATCATACCACATTTGTTGCTTCTGTTGGTGTTGTTTATTTGCTACTGTCTTGACGTTTGTGTTTCTGTAAGTAGTTTTAGTAGGAGATATAGGCTGTTATTTTGTAAATTCCCGAATTTTATTGCCATTTTTTTTGTCAGTGATTTGAATGTATGTACATGTAAACATGCACATTTGAGATTGCTTGTGGACAAGTTAATAGGCTGAGTTACTTTATTCTGGTTTGTCTGTTTGTGTTGTAGCTGTGTTCATTGATATTTATTGCTTTTAATTTGTATGCTAGACATGAGCATTGTTTCAAAGACAGATTTTTGAGTTATTACTTAACGTACATGATGTACAATCACATTGTTTAGTCATATATTTTTCTCATTTGCATATCTGCATATCTTATTTGTTTCTGAGTTCTAATTACTATATTTCTTTCTTGCACCTTCCTTTTTGTTTTACTCTCTCCAAAAAGAAGGGGAATGGGGTTGAAATTACCACACTTTTGCTTTATTCAACTTGTCTTAAAGTTGGAAATTTTCCAATTTGTTGCATCTAATTTTCATTTATTTCTAATTTAAATGTCTAGGACATCTGCCAGGAGAAGCTTGGAGTCAAGTTGGAGGAAGAAATACTTATTGGGGCAAAAAATGGAGATTCTTCTCTTATATCAAGAGCTATGGCAGAGGAGGAAGGAAAGTTGTTGGAAGCACGGGTGAAGGAGGAAGAAGAAGAAAAGGCAAATGAACCTGAATTGGTGCCCAACTTGAATGATACCCAGTTCACTAAATTGGATGAACTTCTAACACAAACCCAACTTTACTCGGAATTTTTGCTGGAAAAAATGGATGACATCACAAATGTATCTACTTGTGTTGCTATTAAGATGAATCTGCTAATTGTTAAATAATTTATCTTGTTGCTAATTAACTTATTGCATGAATTGTATTATTAGAATAAACTGGAGGAAGACAATGAATCAGTTACAGAGAAAAAGAAAGGTCGTGGTGGGAAAAGAAAAGCCGCAACAAATTACAACAATGTAATCAGTGTTCTCTTTCAAGTATTTTGATGTTAACTATGCATACTTTATTTTTTCATGGTACCCAGGGTTCGTTAATTGATTTAATTTGGAGTATTCACGCTGTGTCAACACATCATCCTTAACACCCTATGTGTATTTGTACAAGATAGTTAGGATTGATGGAGCATCTTGGGACACTAGATGAACTTGACACCTGATATACATCGGTACTTGACACTCATGTCCAATTCAATGTGTCATAAAACCTTGGGTTACACAAAATCAGAGATACCCTTGAATTTGTGGCTTGCAAGGGTTTGGTATGGCATTTGCATTCTTTATTGTGTCTACGAGGAGCAATATGTGGTACACTGGTTCTTCTCAATATATGAAAAGGAAAGGAAGTCAAAATTCATTTAATACTTTTAGGGAAGAATGTAAAATTGAAATTGAAAATTGATCATTTATCTGTAACATATCTGACTGAAAGGCTAAAGCTTTTGTTACCCGAATATTAAGAAGCTTTCCCTTCACAGGGAAAGTGCTCTATCAGGGTTGGCCTGCATAAACAATGAATTATCTAGCAGTTTTCTATTTTCTGAGTAAGCAACAAATTATTGAGCCATTTGCTTTACCATTTTCTTGGATTTTTATCTGACGATGTGATTGAATACTTGGTGCATTGTTTGAATATTGATTCCAGGTTATAGTCTAATGTCCCAGGTGAGGAGGATAAATTGTGTTTGTTTGGAGGTTTTGGGTGTCATAATTAGGCTATACATTTTTTTCTATTCTAAATGGGGTGCATATGCCAGCTTATTTTGTGGTTTATTCATCTATGATTCTATGCTGTTCTTATTTTGAGAACCTCTTTATTGATTTGCAAAATCTATCACAAAATTGTGTCATTTTCTTAGAGAAAGGCCAAGAGAGCTGTTGCAGCTATGCTAACAAGATCTCAAGAAGGTGCTGCTTCTGAAGATACGGATCTTACCCAGGAGGAGAGAGCTGAGAAAGAGCAGGCTAAACTTGTACCGTTGTTGACTGGTGGAAAGTTGAAGCCTTATCAGATTAAAGGTGTCAAATGGTTGATATCGTTATGGCAAAATGGACTGAATGGGATCCTTGCAGATCAAATGGGGCTTGGAAAGACGATTCAAACTATTGGTTTCCTTGCACACTTAAAAGGGAAGGGCTTGGATGGGCCCTATTTAGTCATTGCTCCTCTTTCTACCCTCTCTAATTGGGTGAATGAGGTCTCCAGGTAATCATGTATTTTTAATTTTCCTTGAGTTGGCTGACCTGATTTTATTGGAATCAATGTATGTTTGCATCCAGTTCGACAGTATTTTATTTGATTGATTGGCTTCCGTCAACGTATCATTCTATCTGTTCCTTTTTTTTTCCAAGGTTTGTGCCCTCGGTGAATGCAATTATCTACCATGGTAATAAGAAAGAAAGGGAAGAGATAAGGAGGAAGCACATGCCGAGAACAATAGGCCCTGACTTTCCCATTGTGATAACTTCATATGAGGTTGCATTAAACGACGCAAAAAGGAACTTAAGGCACTACAGTTGGAAATATATCGTGGTCGATGAGGTACATCTTCTAGATTTTTAGTCCTTGAATCTGTACTCGTCTTTTTTTAAAAGTATATGACTGTATGCCAAAACTTGAGATTTAGTCAAGAAGTGCTTCTGCCTTTTAATATGCGTACGTATTTCTTGAAGGGGCACAGACTGAAAAACTCGGAATGCAAACTATTGAAGGAGCTGAAACACTTACCCGTTGAAAATAAGCTTCTGTTAACTGGGACACCTTTGCAGAACAACTTGGCAGAGCTTTGGTCATTGTTGAACTTCATTCTGCCTGATATATTCTCCTCTCATGAGGAATTTGAGTCATGGTAATGACTTATTTTTCTTTCTATGGGAATCCTGTAAGTGGATGGACTTTAGATATGTTTGCTGACTGAAAGGATAAAGTGTTGGTATTGGTTTTTAATTTTGTATGGACAGATTTTTATACAAGAATGATTGCAAAAATGATGATTTGATATCTAGGAAAAACAAGGAACACTGCAGAAGCAGGATTAGTCTGTAATTCTTAAGAAATCAAGTGGAGTTGTACAAGGTTGCAATATGGTGTTCTGAAGTCATAATTCAATTTTTTGTCTCCTAATTCCAGTATGGTACAATATGTTCCCTGTGATCGTTAGGCCTCTTTCACAGACACAATGATTATAGAATACGACTATAAGTAGGCCCTAGATGATGAATTTGATTAAATTTTTGTTGCATTCTTGGATCCTCCTAACAATGTATCTGTATGCTGATTTCATATAGTTTGCCATGCTTCTAAATTATGGCTGTCAAGACATCAAAGTGTTGGTGATGGGAATCAGATAAACAATGTAGATTATTTTGAAATTCATTCATTTATTTGGATATTTTTTATGATTTCTATTTTATCAGTGTAGGAGGGATTAGAAGTCTTCAGTTTAAGGTTTGAGTCCCTATAAAAAGGGTTTGATTATTGATTTCTGATAGATTGATATTGATGGACCAGTCTTATGCGGAGATCCATAACCTCCATAAATGACACAAATGTTTATTGTAATTGGTTTACGCAGCCTTTATTCATTCAACAACTTAAATAAAGACTTCTAGAATGGTAATATCCATAATAATAAGAACAAACTTATCCCTAAGAAATGGGAAAAATGACAAAATAGATAACAACCCACAATTTTTTGTGACATTGCCTAACCACCAGGACAGGAGGACTTATTTCATCCCAGAACCAATGTGTCACTTCTGCACACCTAACTCGCTCTTCTTGTCTTTTTCTCTTTATTATTTTGTTTTTTTTGTAATCTGCTACCTCAATTAGGTATAATAGATGTCATTACTCTGCATAAATTTGGTATTACAACTATTTTTAATCGGTATCAAGTTCGATGAGGATCAAAAGAAAATCAAATAACGGAGGTAGATTTAATTTTTGACTTACTTAGTTGGATATCATTTAGTAATTTCCTTTTAATGGTAGGGATATGTTAAATGTCTTTATTTTAGATTTGGAATCCCTACACAAAGAATTATTGATTAATTGAAGCTTTAATTCATACCCAATACCTCCTTTCTCTTCCGCTCTTCTATTATTCTTATCTCCCTTATTCTTCCTAAAATGTACATCAATTTGTATTAGAGCTATCTTTGTTCTGTATCAATTTGGTATCAACGTTTTATTTAATCAGCATCAATTTGGTATTGGAGTTGTCTTTAGTCTACATCATTTGGTTAATTCTATGGGTTTTTGTAAATTTGCAATTTCATCAATTAAGCAACCAAAGAATATGATACAATGATTGGAAGATAAATTCAAGTTCCATTGATGGCTGTATTCCCCATATGTGTTGTGTGTCATACTTACGTTGTAGCTTGTTAGTGAGAATGCTGGTAAAATGCTTGCACTAGGTATATTGGACTCCTAGCATCTTAAATAGCACTCGTGCTTTTGTGACACTTAATTTGAGCCAGTTCGTGATCCCGTAAGAAGTGGCATAATGATCTTCTTACTTAAACCCATGTATATATTTAAGCTCCTACGACTTGTAACCTATTGGTTTGGAGTCTTATCATAGTTCTAGGCACCCCGGGGAGGGGGGAGAAGTGTTTAGTACCCTGGAAAGTTGAATCTGTTGCAAAATTGAAAGTTGGAAATAGAAGAGAATAGTTTTTAACTTCTAAGCTGGTTTGACTTATGCATATAATTTTGAATTTACAAAGAAAATAAAAGTAACTACAGCTTTATTGATGAATATTTTGACATGGGCTGATTAATTTTTAAGTGACATGATTTGTTTTCAGGTTTGATCTGTCGGGGAAGGGCAGCAATGAAGCCATGAAAGAAGATTTTGAGGAAAAGAGAAGGGCACAAGTATACATACCGCTGATAGCGTGTTCTTATTAATAAAGATAGTGGCATGTATTATAATGACTTGAATAATTTTGAAAACTGCAGGTGGTGGCAAAACTCCATGCTATCTTGCGTCCTTTTCTCCTTCGAAGAATGAAAGCTGATGTTGAACAGATGCTACCTCGAAAAAAAGAGATTATCTTATATGCTGCTTTGACTGAACATCAAAAGAACTTCCAGGATCATCTGGTCAATAAGACACTGGAAAAATATTTGCTGGAGAAGGTGGACACTGGTAATGAATACAATATTCCTATGAAATAAATTAGTTTGCCAGATAATGAAATTTTAAAAAAAAGTGGTAGTAGGGGAAACATTTCCTCTGATCTATCCCTAATATTCTCTTTCTTCTTGCTGTACTTCAGAAAGGTCTTCATAGATTTCTCATTTCCATATCCAATGGAATATTTTGTAACTCAAAAAAGTACAGCTTCTGGAAAGAGGAAAGGAAGAAAAGTGTTTATGAAGTAGTAGTACCCCTCATCAGCACAATACCAGAATGGGGGAAATTGTCAAGTCCTCGTATATTATATCAGCATGAAATGATTTGCTTTTGCATATTTTTGATCGCTTTTTAATTTTACTGCATATTTTTGGAATGTTGGTTAGGTTGGTGATTGCATTCAGGTCAGTGACTCAGAATTGTGTATCCGGGTTTGTGATTTAGCAAGTAGTGTAAGCTTGTGTCATGCTGCCATATTTTTCGTGTTTTGGTCTCATGGATCTGCTCAGAGTTCCGGGCTTCATGACTAAGGATCTTTTTTTCAATTTTATGAATCCAATCAATTTGGGGTCATGTTAATAGCCTGGCACACTATCTGATGTGGTTTTTATTCCCCACATGTGGCCATTTGTTCATATTATATGTTGCAATTTTTTGTGCTGAGCATGTAAATATGCAGGACGTGGTATTAAAGGAAAGCTTAATAATTTGATGATTCAACTTCGGAAGAACTGCAATCATCCTGACCTCTTAGAGTCGGCATTTGATGGCTCTTGTATGTATTATGCAATTTATTGACTAGATTAAAGTGATTGTCCTGATCAAAGACATTAGAATGATTGAGAGCTTACAATTTTACTTTTTTTTGTTACTTATTCACAGATTTTTACCCGCCTGTAGAACAGATAGTTGAACAGTGTGGCAAATTTTGCTTGCTGGACCGCTTGCTGGTGAAGCTGCTTGGTCGTAAGCACAAAGTATGATTTACACTAAATTGAGTGATATATGTGTGTCTATTTGCAGTTTACGAATGATCTTTCTACTCACCTTTTGTCATTGGCATAGGTTCTGATCTTTTCCCAGTGGACTAAGATCTTAGATATAATGGATTATTATTTTAGTGAAAAGGGCTTCGAAGTTTGTAGAATTGATGGCAGTGTGAAATTGGATGATAGGAAAAGACAGGTAAGTACAACTTTCTAAAACTTGACGAGATCTTCAAGTTGTTGTTTGTAGATATGCATACTTTCTTTTGGACAGGTTATGAAAATGTTTGTTCTGTATCTTGATAAGATCCCCTTGACATCATATATGTCGGTGGAAATCATACTTTCTTGAGATGGATTGTTGTTGCTAAAGTGAATGTGGAGTGAAGCTATTTATCAGTTCTTGGAGTTTTCCTCTATTGTGTATATAAATATTAGTCTTTAAGCTTGTCCTTGGTATTTTGGCATTATATCGGCCCACAGCCATTGTTGCCATGTTGTTAAGCCTTGAGAAAAGGGAAGTGGGTCATGGGATGGTCCAAAAGTTTGACCGCCCATTGGGCCACAGGTTGACCTTGCCTGCCATGCAGTGGCCCAAGGAAAGCGCAAATGCATATCATCAAAACTGTTCCATAATTTGCATAGAGTGGTTGCTCTCATGGTCGAGCCCATAGTCTCAGGAGTAGACCACCTTTCTTGCCAATTGGTTAAGTTTAATGCATTTGCATTCGATACATTTCTTCTTTAGTAAGGTTACTATTCTTGTTTGTGTGAATTTTCCTTCTTCTCTTGCTTGCCACTAACTGTACCAGAGGACTGATGCTGACCTGTTATGCATGCTGATGGTTAGCTTGCATAAATCCAGTCAATCTTTCATCAAATGTGTCTTGCAGCATCTCTTTGGGATGGTGCTGATTAATTTATTTCTAATTGTTCTTGAATGGTGCTCCATTATAGGGTTCCTACCTGTTGGACCCAATGCTATTAGTTCTGGACATCCAACAAATTGGCTGTTACAATCTTTGCAGGAGTTCCAATGTTTTTGATTAGGAAGGATTTGAAATCAGCTTGTATTATGAAACTTGTCTTTTGTTTTTCTTTTTAGAAAGGGTGACTGGTCGCCCCCATGTGCTATAAAATATTAATATAATTTCCTCTTGTTGATGAAAAAACTGCTCTCTTGTTCGGCAATGGACATTGTCATATTGTTTTCCACTTTGAAGTGATGGTGATTTTTTAAGGTAATAACTGTTCTTAATGCATCAAACAGATCCAGGAGTTCAATGATGTGACCAGTAATTATAGAATATTTCTTCTCAGCACCAGGGCCGGTGGGTTAGGAATTAATCTTACCGCAGCTGATACCTGCATTTTATATGACAGTGACTGGGTATCTCACTGAATTCATGCTTTTCTTTTTTCTTTTGCGTTGTTTGATTTCTGTCTTGAAGACATTAGACATTTTTTTGCTTCTGTATTGATTGATTATGCTACATTTGCATCCCAGAATCCTCAAATGGATTTACAGGCAATGGATCGATGCCATAGAATAGGTCAGACTAAGCCAGTTCATGTTTACAGGCTTGCCACAGCTCAATCTGTTGAGGTATCTCATGAATGGACTTGTTTTTGGTTATAATAGGATGTTACTCGATGCTATTGTATTTTGATGAAAGGTCAAATACACTAACAGCCATATGCTATCAGGGGCGAATTTTGAAAAGAGCTTTCAGTAAATTAAAACTGGAGCATGTAGTGATTGGGAAGGGGCAGTTTATACAAGAAAGAACCAAGGATAATGACATGGAGGTCTGTGCCTCCTGTTTTGATTGATATCCTATTATGTATTGTTTTATTATTTTTGGCAGTGATCCTTTGTTCTAAGTTGGAGTTGTCCTTGTGAACATGCTTACTGTACAGAGTCAAGGAAATAGAAGCGCCTCGCAATCCTTATACTAGTATTTTTTGTTTTCGCATTTTTTGACCTCCCCCTCATCTTTCACATCAGTGAGTTCCTGGGGTCAATGACAATTGCATGGGTAGAACCTTGAGGGTGTATCCTCTACCCTATTCAAAGGTTACAAGGATGAGATTCTGTTGTTACTGGTACATGTTTTATAAATAATTCCTGACATTGATTTGACACCTTGACTTGTTACTGCCTTTTTAAAAATTCTTTCAAATGACCTTTTTTCCTGCTACAGTTATATTGATAAGCTTAAATTTGAGCTTAATATTTAGAGAGGTCTTGGTTTTGTCTAGGCTCAGCCTCAGGCTTCATGTAGTTTTGATAGCTAATCAACCTGGTAGATAGTGCTCTGGGTTGGCTTGGACATTTAGTATGGGGCTAAGTCCAGATAAAACAATGTGGATTATGCCTGTCGAGATCAGGACTTATAGTAAACAGTTGGGTCCCTCATTTTTTTTATATGCTTGAAGGATTCAGAAGTCAGTCACCAGGTCAACTAGTTTCCTCGTGTCTGAGATTTGATCATGCAAAATCCATATTTCCTTATGACAGTGCGGTTTTTAGCTCGAATAACTAGAATTAGTTATCGAGTCAGTATCACCTTAGTTTTGAGTGATTGAGCTTGGCACATCAAATCTGTTAGACAATTTACATGAATTTGAGAATACTTGTTCTGTGTGTGTTCGTATTATTCTTTATCTTAGCAGATTTGTGACTTATTTTTCCAGGAAGAGGATCTGTTGGCGCTGCTCCAAGACAATGACGATCCTGGGGACAAGCTGATCCAGACACAGATTAGTGATGAAGATTTAGAGAGGGTTTTGGATCGCAGTGATCTGATTCCTGGTCCATCGAAAGAAGATGGAAAGCCAGATACTGATGCTAGTGTGTTCCCCCTTAAAGGACCTGGCTGGGAGGTGGTGATACCAACTGCAACTGGAGGCATGCTTTCCACTCTCAACAGCTAATGGCCTGTTGGGAATTGGTTGTAGGAATTTTGGCTGTAGAGGGATTTTGGGCTAGTCTTTTTTTGGGGTTGACATATTTTGGGTGTTAATGAGTATGTAATGGTTTGACGAGCTCAAGAATGTCCGGTGGGGAAGTTTTCTTTCATTTTGTTTAACATTTGGAAAGAACTTGTTCTCTACCAAGGTAAATCTTCAATTTTGGAAGCACTGGTGTATTTTGTTAGACCAATTATGCACTTCCTATGTAATCTGGATTATCCTAAGATTCTTGGTACGTATATGGTGTTATGGCCATTGAAAACAGAGAATTCAGTGTACGAGATTCTGTTTTAGTATTTAGGGTTTTGATGTGCACAATTTGATCTTGTATTCGGCTATTTTTGTGATTCGAATATGTCGTGTTCAGTTTACAAACCAGCCTTCTCAGGTTTTGTCCTCTATTGCAGCCAAGGCATACATGGCAAAATAGAGTAATCTTATGGTATCTGTAGGACTAAAGATCATAGATTTCTAAATGATAAAAAAATTGGCTGGTCTATGAGGAGTGGGCTTCTATTCGCTTCATCAGCTCAACAAAATAATTTATTCTTAAATTAATAGTTAATTAGGTTGGGGTTCTCTGTAGTTTGTAAATTAATTTTAATTTTCTTGGATTTTTAATATATAAAAAAGTCCTTTGAGTTTTTAAATAAATTGGATGCAGTCCTTATGTGAGCATGAAAGTAGGGGGTTGGACAATTTGTGCTTTTATTATCCATTTTGCCTTCGTCACATAATTTCAGCTTAAAATATAATTTTTTTTTTGCATTTGATATTGAGGATTTTGTGGGTTTGTGACTGTTGTGTATCAGTTTGAGGATTGAAATGCTAGATTATATTGGTTATATCATCATGATAATTTTTTTTTTTGTAAATATTTCTGATACTAGTCCGTTGGCGTATGATTTGAACAGACCCTAAACTGGTGTTGGTTTCATTAACTCTAAATGTTGTGTGTTTATTAGAGGTTTGATTTTTTTTCATCACAGTGATGAAAAATAGTAGATTGGACCTAAATTGGTTGGTTGAAGAATTTTTAAGTGTTTTTTTTGTCGACATCGTTTAATTTGCATAATTTTCAAAAAATGTTTCGGACAATGTAACTAATATATCTAACATGTACATATAATTCTCAAATATAATCGTAACAAATTAATCACTAAATTAGTTGCACAATAAAAGACATTGGTAATGACAAGTACATTTACAAGTATACGGTTCAAAATGGGAACATATGGTTCTAATTTTGGTTTACTTTTTTGGGACATAGCATAGGCACTATAATTTTAAGCTACAAATACATTGTCAATTCCATTTGAACAAAATGAGGGATAAGTTATCTATGGTGTTATTCACATTTCTATTACAAGTACATTACAAAAAAAAAAATTATGTATTTTATTGCAATGAAACCCTATTTTATATGAAAAAAGGCTTTTAATCCTGGTTGTCATTCATGTATATAGCATAGACACAATAAATTTAAGCTGCTGGTACATGTGAGTAACCTTTGATCAAAACGAAGAGGGAGCTATCTATAGATACATTAATATAACAAGTGTATTACAAAATTCAGAGCAAAAAAAACATGTTTGCATCAGCTAAGGATTGAATTTTATTGCATGAGACCCTAATTTTAGTTCACAAAAGATCAAATGGAAGACATAATGAGTTGTGGTAATGCATAGACACATTTTCAATGTATCTCAATGCGTTAGAGTTTTGAGACGGTACCTGTACGACTGATGGGCTTTCAAATGTTTACAATATCTTCATTGTTGAATGGAGGTTTTTTGGTGTTTTTCGTTTTTTGAATGTTAATGATTTATGATTTTAGAAGGAAATTCCCTTATTTACGCACGTTTTTTTTTAAATTTCAAATGTATTACGCATTGTATTTTTTATTTTACACACGGTATGAGTTTTAAACACCCGATGAATATACCATGTCTCTACACGTGTTATTTTAGGTAAACAAAATTAAATTATTATAGAGTGCTCTAAATTAAAAACTAAACATTATATTTCATTTAGAAAGGGAGATAAAATATTAAAAAAAAAGGGAAAATTTGGAGACCAGTCCTCTTAGATGAACTTGTTTGGTAATAAGTCATGCAAGAAAACTAATTTGGTTATAAGTCTCCTTTTTATTAAGTTTACTTTTCTACCCTTACTATTTTCCAAATCTCAAACAGCGTCTCAAAAGCCGTTTCAAAAGTAACGATGATACCCTCAATGGTCGGCACTCATAAAACCGAAAACTTTCCATCTTCATTCGGTCCTGCAATTCCGGCTAAAGATCATCCACATCTATTTGTGTTCCTTTCTTCCATAATCAAAACTTTAATTACCGAACCGACTCCATTCAAAATACAAAGGGTAAACTGTTGAAAAAGGGTTTTACTCTTCAAGTTCAAATCTATTTGTGTTCATTTCTCCGAAAATCATTCCTTTCTCTGAAAATCAATAACATGGGAGGCTTAAAAATCTGAAAGGTATGTGCTTTTACATGTTACTTGATGTATATTTTAAGGGTTGACAGTAACATTTATAATGTATATAGTTCAACCTGTCAATCAATTTTTTTTTTCCACTAATAAATTGTGATTCATTGATATGTATTTTGGATTTGTTTTTATTTTTTGGATTTGTAGAACATACGAAAATTATTGTTGCTATTTTGTGTGGAATATCTTATGTTACTATGAGAGTACCTTAAAAATTGTTTGTAATAATATTGATATTTTGATGTTCTTGTTTTGTATCGAGTGTGCTAATTCAACTATTGACAGTGTGTTGCTAATTTTTTTTTTTTTTTTAAATTTCAATTTTTGAATTGATTTTTTACTATAATAGTATGAATTTTGATGTTACTATAAACACTATATGACATTTGGTGGGGGGTTACTGTTCATATTATTGTTACAAGCGAAAAATTTTGGTGCTTTCTGCTTTGTTCAAGACATCTGAAATCTATTGGTTCAAAATTATAAAAAATTGTTCATGTTACGGTGTGATAACTCTTTAATTTTTTTGAAACTAATATTGTGAATTCTTGTTGCTATATAAAAGAATTGGGTATTATGGATTTGTTTTTTTTTTCATTGTGTTATACATTCGAAATTGATTGGTATGATTTATTTGAAATTTCTAATGTTACTGTGAGAGAAATTTTCCAATTCTATTATTTTAATGTCGATATATTAGTGTTATTGATTTGTATTGAGTGTCCTTAATCAACTATTAACATTGTGTTACCATTTATTCAAGACAATAACATCAATTTTTGAATTATTTTTTTATTATCTTTCTTTCGAAATTCGATGTTACTGTGCACAATATGACATTGGAAATGAAGTTGTTCAGGTTTTTGTTATATAATTAAGTGTGTAAATTTTTTTTGTTGCTTTCTTCATTGTTCAAGATATTCGAAAACCAATGGTTCAATAATACATTGAAACTTTTCAGTGTGATAACTGGATAAAATGATTTCATATTTTCAATGTTTGGATGTGCTTAGGTACTGTGTATGTTACTGCTAACTTGGTGTTATTATAAATATGTTAATGATCAAACCCTTGGTGTTTTTTAATTTTTGATGCAACATATGTTGTTTATGAAGAGTGTAGGGGCTGTTGTATGATTTTAAATGTAAAATGGGAACTCAATGAATTTGCAATGGAATCGATCATATATTGAAAACTGAAGTTACTGAATTGTGTTTGTTTGATATTACTAAGAATATGTTGGTTGGATTCAGTTTATTAGTTAGTGTTACTATGCTCATGTTACAAAGCTAATGTTATTGTATGTTGTTCATCAATTTATATTTCAAATGTTATGTTATAGGTTGATTGAAAAAAAAGGTAAATCTACTGCTCCAAAAGTAGCTTCATTTCACTAATTTCGGTCTAATTTGCTACAATTGGTGAATGTTATAACTGACCTAAATATCACAGATGTTCACTGAGAACAACTAAAAAGAATACCATTTTGGCATCTGTTTAACACAATATCAACAACTGAAGTGAATAAAGAATGGTTCAAAAAAATGACAAGAATATTGTGGACATAATTACAATATTTGATGTTGAAACATCAAGATTCCATATTGGTGAAAAAGGTCTGAAGATACGGAAGACTGATGTAACACTCATTTTTGGTATAGAAGATGGTGACGATCCAATTCTTTCCTCCCAAAGTGCAAAAAAAAATTCACCATTTGTTAGGAGGAGATTCAGTAACACCAATAAATTGAATGCACCAATTATAAAAAACAGGTTGGAGGAGGCAACAACGGGTGTTGGTAAGGATGATTATAAAGATTTTGCTAGATTGTTCTCATTTGTATATCTTAGTGACACTACTAATTACAAATATGGGGCAAACAATTGGATGAAGATATATGTCGTACATAGAAAATCTAGATGAAATAAAAAAATACGACTAGTCTCAAGCAACTATTGATACAATGATGAATTCCATACGGTTGAAGTTTGAAACACCGAGTGCAGTAACCGGTTGTGTACTACTGTTACCAGTAAGTTTTATATTGATAATTTATTTGTTTTTATTTTTATTTTTTCATTAAACACTATCTGTTCTATGTAATGTAACAATATCTAAATTACAGTACTGGATATGTGAACACACGTCTCTTATTGTGGCCGACAAGGCGGATGCATTCCCATGGTAGATGAAATGAGACTTAAGAAAACTTTGGGCGGCCCTCTCACAAAACATACTGTCCGACATAGCAGCTGATAAGGTATTATTAAAAAAATGTGTTTTTTTATAGTTAAATTATTTTTGATAGTTGTTTATTTGATTGACAATGTTAAATTTATATCAATGTTACTATATCAAAATGATGTTACTATTGATGATATTAGCAGAAAAATGAAAGTTATTGTAAAAAAAAAATGGATGCTACTATGGCTATGACTGTGTAATTCACGGCCATTAGACTCAAGTGTTTCATGTTACTAATGATGTTGTCAGGTATTCCGAAGAAAATTAAAGAAAACAGTTGATGAGAAGAACTTAATAAAAGCAATTCGAAAAAAATTCAAGAATGTGCCGCCTAGTTTGGAGGTTCCACAACAAAGCACTATTGTCAACAAGATTGCTTTATATTCATAATTGGAGAATGTAGGTGATGCACCTAATCTAGCTGCTGATGATCATATTTTGGTTAATGAAGATGTACATGAAAGAGATGATGTAGTACATGTTCCTACAAACGATCAGCCTGTACTAAAGGAGACTTAAAACGTCCAACCGTTTGATGCGTTTGTTGATGTGGTCATTCGAGCATCTGCTTGTATGGAACAAGA